GAATCTGTTCCTCTGCTCCGCCCGACCCTTCCAGGCGCTCGGGTGGAGAAGCGTGGGTGGAAAGTGCGGTGGTGCGGGATTCATGGGGAAGAAAGTCTAAGCAAGGCTGTAAATTTGGAACACATTGTTGAAATGGTGTCCGAGGACGTCTGTCGCTTGCCCGATACTTTCACCTGAAATACTGTTATCTCCAAACTCAGCAAGTGCCTTTTAAAAGAAAGAAGAAAACCTCGCTTCCGGCTTCCTTATTTTCCAGTTCCTAATCCTGACAGAATATTCCCCCCGACCCCCACATATCCCTTGGCCTTCTCTTTGCCTGCTTCATAGGGGAGACTAAACAGTTTCCAGAATATAGAAGATTCTTGCTTGGGAAAATACGTTGTGTTTCTACTTTGTGAATATACATTCGTTTATGGGCAGTAAAAAGTGTGTTATGTCATGGGATATGCAGGCCACACTCACATATGGTGCGCTGAATGAAAATGGCTCTGAGATGGGAAGATCTGGAACCAAGGAAAGGAGGGCAGCCTCTCTGCTCTGACAGAAACCTAGCTGGATGGTGTGATAGGGAGCATAAAGTCTGTTGCCGTTCTAAGCTGTGTGAAATATAACAAGGACTACCTCATTTAGTGAAATGGTGGATGGTTGCAGGCCAGTTATGAGAAGGAACCACCATGTGGTTAGACTTTTTGTAGGATTTGTTGCTGTTACATAGTTGCCTATGAACTGAATCTTGTGCTGTTTGTGTGCCCATCTAACTTTGCCTTTCTACAAGAAAAACACTGCTGAAACTTGTAATTACAGACATAGTTCTAACAACTGATAGTATCTCTGTAATCTAGTCCAATCTGCTTTGGGTTGCTGGGAACAAATAGCTTTCTGTGCTCACTTTCATCTCACTGATTTATCACTCTGATTTTTACTTTGGTTTCTGCAAGTGGGAAAGTAGCTGTATCCCACAGTTGTCAAGAAGTAATGCTTATATTCTTTGTTTTATAAAGAGGCTTACATTGAGACATACTGATTTCATAGTTAAATGTTTAATACTTACTCTCTGTGGCCTAGATGTCTCTGAGAGAGCAATATTTGCCAGCTCGGTACTATTTCTGCTGTGGTCATCGAATGTTTGTTTGGTGACTGTTGTATCATCTCAAGCAGTTTCTGTGCATTGCTGTGTACAAAACTGAACAAGTCATGTGGTAGTACTTCACAAGTGTGCATAACATTTCTTGTGCACAGAAACCCAGAGTGAGAATAGGAGTGATGAAGTTTGCACTGTGAAGTGAGAATTGAGTCTCTAGTTGGCTTCATATATTGCATTAAATCATAATATGATTTGGTTTTGAGTTAGTGTGACATATGAACACAACTATGGCTTGTTCTAGAAAATATGGTTAAAACAAACCATGGTTTTGGTTTAAACTCTCTTTTACTGGCGTAGACGGTTTCTGCTTATGTACCTCCAAGATGAAAGGCCTGTTGAAGCAAATGGAAGGCACATGCCATTATAGAAGACATGATAGTAGCCTTCCTATTATTCAAAACTGAGTACTTCATTCACCTATCCCCTAGTTGGCTGCATCTCATTCATTCTTGCTTCCCTTCTTGTGTAAAGTAATATTACTTGGTTTAATCCATTGGCTAGATTCATCTAACAAACTATACTAGATGTGGCTAGCTTCTGCTGGAAAATTTTTATGAACCCAGTGTGATTGGTTTATATTTCAGTGTGGTTAATTTGGTAAACTGTAGTTCAGCTAACTATGGGTTATTGTGTTGTGCAAACAGAATCAGGATCCTCCATTGAACTGAGGGATTGTCAAAGACATTAGAGTCTAGTGCATGTTATAGTTCAGCAGGCCAGGTTGCTTAGTAGAAGGCCAGATTCCCACATTGTAGAAAAGTGAAATTTTCCACACAGTGCAGTTTTTCTGAGGAAATTAAAGTGAGGACACTTGTGATGTGTGCCTTTTCATTGTGCTAATTCAAAAAAGAAAGAAACGTGGCATGCTGGGCTACCTTAGAAATGTCACAAAATCCTCCTGCATGAAAGTAAACAGTGAAGCTCTTCATGACCTCTTCAGATGAACTAGATGAATTGGACTGGTTCCAAGAACATCCAGCTGTTTCTGATGTCAGCCCTGGGACAAGAACTGAGCTTTCCTCTGTATGCTATGGGATTCTCCAGCTGGGCAGGTGGATACTGGCTGGGCTGGTCTCCTCTTCCTCTCTGTTTAGTATTACTTTGTTATGTCCTCCATAAAACCTGGGGTGCTCTCTGCAAAACTTTGCTGAGGTGTTTCTGTATATTAATAAAGGGCTGGAACCTCCCGCCCATCCTTACTGTCCATTTGTCCATTATGTTCCTGTTTTAGAACATAGTTTGACAGACTGAGCTTTCAAGTAGCTGGTTTATTTATTATTTTATAAACCTCCTGGGGGGGGGGGAACCCTTGGGACCATAATAATCACAGTTCTCCAGTCCCAAGTAACAACTAGGCATAGATCCTAATTTTTGTTGAATACATGGATTGCTTTTGAGGACTTGGTTTAATACACAGCAGATAGGCTGTGGACCTATATAAAGCACACTTCATCCATTGGTTCCCCATTTATTTCCAGGCACAATTCAAAATTATCAATGACTGTGTCAAGGATGCTGCTCCCCTTCAAACCTATCCATTCCTTAAAATTACCTGGGACCACCCCTCTTTTGTTTGTGCACTTGGTGGGATCAGGTGTGTGGGGAAACAGGACCTAATCTGTGGTGGAACCCTAACTGGAATGTCCTCCTTGCAGTGGGTGGCAAGCATTTTACGACTGGCCTTTTAGGATTTTAGCCAAATAATTGTATAGACTATTGCATTTTCCTCATTGTTTTGTTTTCTGCTGCTGTATTTATTTTCTGTTTTCTGTTATTAAGTTCCTGTTTAAATTCCTTGATAAGATAGAAATATTGTTTAAAAAAATCTTCTGGGGTTGCTACTGGGCAGATGATGATCTTTGTATAAGTAACTTGGAAAGGAAAAGATAATGCCCCTTTCGAAATTGCTACTTTTAAAAAATGTTGGCCATTTCCTCTTCTGTATTGCCAGAGCCTTTTACACTGGCATTGCTTCAAAAACTCCCTTCTGAATGTTCTCCCACTCTCCACCTGTTGTGACTTTTTTTACAGACTGTATTTTCAACTTCCCTTCCTTGCAGCTCTGTTCCACCCCTCTCTCTTTCTTTCTTTCTTTCTTTCTTTCTTTCTTTCTTTCTTTCTTTCTTTCTTTCTTTCTTTCTTTCTTTCTTTCTTTCTT